TTATGCAAACCACGCTGAGAAATGTTCCACTGGAATTCGTGATTTATGGGCTGTCACATTATTACAGGTCAAATGATCGAGAAAAAACTTGAAATATTTATGTTTGCATCACCGCGATCACTGGAAAGTTACCAAGGTGATTTGAACTTTTTGCTTCTACAATTACAGAAACCAAAACGAAGCAGATTCCTTGTTTTTGAAGAAAAAATAAACACTTTTCTTATCATCCATACAGATTCTCTATCCTACTTGGGTTAATATTCTAAAGCAACCGAAAGGCTTGGTGATTCAGCGTTTTGTAGTGTTCTCTGGGCACTCTCGCACATGCACACTATTACAGCGTCTCTGCTTTCTTTCCTTCCTTCAAAAGGCTTAGTCCTAGAAAGCAGAAAGTATGTGCTTTTCTGTCTGGACTCTCACACGTTGGTTGACCACTGCCCCGTAACCCTCGCATACCGGGCAAGTGCGCTAGAAGTTACGCTACCGGGGCACTATTTCGCCATAAACCAAATTTTCATGGTAAACTCACTATAGGAACCAATTTCACTATCCTCTGGGAATGAAAAAAAATAAAAAACAAAAAAAACCAATAAAATTTCTGGGAAATACCAATTAGTAGTGACAATGGTAAATAATGCAACGCTGGCAAGAATCCAGGGTCCTTGTCTAGTGAATGAAAGTGGGGTTATCCGGTTTTGAGGAAATTCCTTTATTCGTTCCTTTATAAGCAAATTTCGTATCGAAGAAGAAAAGCCAGTATAAGGCAAGATCTTGGGAACCCCACCCAAAAAGTGAAATGAAGAAGAGACCTACTGTGAGCTTCCTTTAGTGATTCTGTCATAGAACTTTTGAAACCATCGAAGTTATGTGATCCGTAAAATCCACCCGATGAGTTCCTTTGAGTCGATCGAATGACAGCTCCACGAGTGGCCGGCAGCAGACGGCTTAGACCAGACATCACCTAAAATTCTGCGTGCGTTATATAAATTACACAGAAAAAAGAACGTATGCGTATATAATGTATACAAGCACAAATGAGCAATATCCGCCATAGAGAAAGCAAGAGAAGAGAACATAAAAAATCACTTTCAATGGAAAAGAAGGCGTAGCGCAACCCGAAAAAGAATTAGTTAGCTCCACTTTCATTTTACCTTTTACCCTTAGAACTAAACAAGACAATCGTCGTCATGTGGCGATGTGATGCACATGGTGCAGCAGGTGAAAGTGGACGAAAAGCTGTTTTGTCCCCGAAGTGTAAAGGAACCCTTTCGACGTAATGAGCACGTGCTGAATTATGG